AATGTACCTCCATGTTGGCTTATGCCAGTTAACAGCGATGGCAACTAGGAGACTAAAGAATTACCTCTGTGTGGCATAAGAGCTTTTCTTATGGTCTGCTCCGCTGCAGAATCTTGCTGTAAGAAGAAAAATTAGAGAAAAGTGTGAGGAGAGAGGAAGACTGTGAAAGGCAGTAGAACTTATGTTATTGGGGAAAGAGACCTAAGGGCAACTTAAGACCCATTTTATGAAATGGAAGCAGTAATGCAGTCTCCAGACTGCAGTAGGAAATATGCCAAGTGGATAAACGCTCGTAAATATAACTCGTCAGCTGAAAATGGTCAGCTTGTGGAAGACTTTTGGGGTAGGAGAGGGGGCTTAAGAATCCCTGACTTCTAAAAAATGACTTTTGCCTTTGTTCAGATTGCTAGTGCAACTACTGCTCCATCAATCCCTACACATCTGTCTCCTGGCTTGAAAGACGTGACTCTTCGGTGTTTGGAACTTCAGCCTCAGGACAGACCCCCATCCAGGGAGCTGCTGAAACACCCAGTCTTCCGTACTACGTGGTAGCGACTTACGTTACCCATATACTGATATACTGAAGATGATGCTACTGAATACAGAGTCTTGCAGCGCAGTTAAGTACAGCAAATTATCTTGTTCTGCTGGCCTTAGTGATAGATGCATCAAGGACTTAAGGCCAGCGGAGGACCTTGCCTAAGTATGTGATTGACAAATCGAGATCTTTACCTAAGCTCAGTGTGCAACGTTTCATGACTTGTGCGGAGATATATAAACCGTGCCTTTTTGAACATCTGGCTCTGTGTGAACACAAAATCGTTTTTCCTTAAATCTGCACGATTCTTTAGCAGATAAGTGATTTTTATTTTATTCGGAGCACTTTTTCAGCAATATTAGCAGCTGAGAGGCTCAGGATCTATTTTAATATAGCAATCGCTGTTCCATTTCGCATCATGTAGATGTAAGCAGAGAGTTCTGCAATTAGTCACTTTTCAGCACTGGTTGAAAGGAAGTTCTCTATCTGTCTCTTTTAATTATACAAAGTTCTCTGAGTAACGAATCCAAACATTGATGGATACTTTAGAAAACATTTTGCCTTCCTTAAAGAGCAGGCAGTTGTGATTCACTGTGCGCTTACTGCTGGCCATGTAATTTCTTTTGAAATTAAAGTTTGTTTTCATTGTATTTTTAACTTTAAGATAAAGGGGATATTTTAATAGTCTTTAGAAAAAGATGCAAACTGTGTCATAGAACGTCTTACTGACACAGGAGTTTTTAAAACAGATTTGCTGGAAATCTGTAATAAAATGTTGCCTTCAACAAGGCAGTGTTGAAGGCTCTGATAGTATAGGTTATTTAAAAAAAAAAAAAAAGAAAAAACAAGATTGTTCTGCATAAAACAACTTAGTCTGAATCATGCTAAAAGTTGTTGAGCCTTGTTTTCATATAGCAGTTTCTTCAGTAAAATCATGTAGGGAAGTTTCATGTCAAAGGCTCCAAACCCAGCTCCCATTAAAGTTTACGGGAGACTTTGTCCTGTACTTCGGTGGGAGAAGGTGCCAACTTTGAGCAAATCTCATTCTTTGTGTAACAAAACTGAGGTCACATTCTCTACTGATAACAAGTTTTACCTGCTGTTTTCCTTCTGCCGCCATACATCATCTATTTACTGTAGCCATTAGTGATAATTTAATTTGAAGATGTTAAAAATATTACCATAAGAAAGGTATTTATTTTAACAGGTAACAAACTTGGACTTGAAAAGCAAGATAAAGTAAAATGTGAAGTAAAGCTTCACCTGTAGTGCAAAACTTGTGGTTTTGGCAGGTGTGTTTTTTTAAAACAGGATTTAAAAATTAACGGCAAGTTTTTAGATTCTGATGCATGTAATTCTGAAGGAAAATGGCAGCTTTTCTTTTGCTTTTTTAAGAAAGGGGATCTTTTTAAATGAAATATTGATTGTGTTTAATCCATTTGGAAAAAAATACTGTTTATGTTTTAACTCTTCAGAAGCTGGTTGGATTGTTGGACTGAAATAGAATTGGTTATTTTCAAAGACTCAGGACAAACTATATAAGCTATAGTACATTAAAAATGTACAATACAAATTGGAAGTAAAACATCTTAAAGATAAGTTTACAGGAATGATAGTGCTCATACTAATAAAAAAAAAAGCAGTGTCATTAGTTGTGAATGTGTTTCTTTTGGAAATTTTACATTCCTTTGTTTTGGAAGATTGGCAGACTTTGAAGAGTTAAAAAGATAATACCGAAATGTGAAGTTTGGTAGCTCTAACTGTTTTGTACTTGACTTTATTTTTTTTTTTGACCACTTTAGAATTTCTCATTCTAATAAGATTGTTTCCAAGTCTTTCTTATGTGCAAGCTTTAAAGGATGCACTCTTGCCAATTCATGTACTGGAAGATCACTTGTCAGATTTAATACTGTTTCTGGCAGAAATGTAAACTGTATAAACTGATGAACCTCAGCTAATCAGTATTACTTTGTAGATCACCATGCCTGCCACATTTCAAACTCAGACTGCCTCTAGGTGTCCAAATGCGTTTGTTTGAGTTTGTTTGCGTTTCCCTCAGCTTGCTGGTAATTGTGGTGTTTTTAAAATGCAGATGTGATGTAATGTTCTTATTTTCTTTGGATCAAAGCTGGACTGAAAATTGTATTGTGTAATTATTTTTGTGTGTTCTTAATGTTATTTGGTACTTAAGTTGTAAATAACGTCTACTGCTGTTTATTCCAGTTTCTACTACCTCAGGTGTCCTATAGAGTTTCTTCTACCAAAGTTCACTTTCACAATGAAATTATATTTGCTATGTGACTGATTCCTAAGACTTCCAGGGCTCAAGGGCTAACTTCTATTAGCACCTTATTGTGCAAACAAATTTTACAGAAATCTCTGGGTTAAGAAATTTGGCTTCATTGTATCCTTTGTTATTTTAAATATATCAAGATATTTTAATTAAAAGTTTTTACCCCATTGAACCAATTTTATATAGTATAATTTGTACCTATTTTGGTGTTTTTTGTCTTTATAGTAAATAAAAGTTTTTGAACAAATTTTGTCCTTTGCTTATTGTAATGTGAATACATTCAGTCTCCCGAAGTGAATAAAACATTTCTGGTACACTTCACTGTTTATACACAAGTTCATATGTAAACACTCATTATATCAAGGCTTAGTTTCTAGTACACATATAAATGAGTACCGGCTGATACATCCATGTCTTAGGTGTATCAATAAACAATGCTTAGACAAAAGGCAGCAACAAACATTTTTAATCAATAGTAAAGGTAGGCACTACTCACGACGACAGTATCTATGATCCTCACTTGCTTAGGCCCTTAGACCAAACACTGAATGTCTAAATTTTGCATTACTTACTGCCAATGTAACTGTTAATTACCAGGTCAGGTGAGTTGATTTGTTCAGATCGGTGTGGCAAAGAGATTCGACTGCAAAGTTCAAGCCAACAATTTATTTGAACTGCACTTGAGAATTCAACATGCCGCTGTCGCGGGTTTCACAGATGCAATGGAGGAGGGCGCTGCCGCAATTTAAGAACAAGAATACGCGGTTACAATACACTGCTACAACACACCGGAGATTCACAGAACACGCTGTTCCAACACAACAAGGCTGCTAGATGTTACGTGGACGTTAGTTACTCACCTATGCTAAATATTCACTTACCTCTCCAGCGAAGGACTCTCAGCCTCAGGGGAAGTTGCCCTGGCCTGCGTACTGATCAAGGGGGAAGGGTCTCCTCACGGGCCAGCTGTGTAGTTGGAGAAGCGACTCCCAGTTCCCAACCTGAATCGTAGGGGTTTTATCCCTTGATTTATGTAACTGTGTGTAGGACTATGCCTGAGTGGATTGTATCATTACCTTGGGCGGTGTGGCAGAGTTTCCCCTTATCTTTCTTTATTCATCCGTAGGTGAGGTTCAGTTTCGTATACTCTACTTCTTACTTCTCTTTGCTCATCTGTGATTGAGTAGACAAGATTGTCAGCTGAAGCTGAAACCGTCCAGCTTCTTTTCCTTACTGTGTCAGGGCAACTGAATAATGGTTGGATTGAGACTCGGGCATGTTATTTGTTGAGGCATTTCAAGGCTCAACTCAAGTTTTGGTTCTTTGAATGATGCGGCAGTGTCCTGTTAAGTCTGGGGCTTATTGGACAGCTCAGGGCTGAGCTATCTACCCAGCCCCCCATGGGCGGTCCCTGCAGAGATAGGGCCTCAATGTGATCCAAGGCTGGGTCGCTTTTACCACCCCCTGTGAGTCACCTGCGTGCACGAGACACTGCTGAAACTTGTTTATGATCTAGGAGTGGACGATCCATACAATCCATTCTGGAGCCACTGAGGTGTATCTTGGAAGCTAATCTGTTATTTTGTGTTTTCAGTGAAATTATTCTGTTGGTTATGATTTCTAGTAGCAAACAGAAGCCTTTCCTTATTCAGGCAATCTGAACATCTATTGCAAAGCTAGAGCTTGTTTCAGTTGCTTATGTTTCTCCTGTATTTGTGGTATTTTTTTAATTAATCATTTTTTTTATATACCTGAAAATTAAGCTCAAGTGTTCTGCAGCCTTTTTTGTCACTACTAAATTCTACATTTTGAAGGATCACTCTCTTTATAACCTCCATTAGTTATATGACTTTCTGCAAATACGAGATGAACATATCAATTCACAAGCAAAAATTAGCAGCAGAAATCTTCAGATAAATTCTAATATCTGATTTTTTAAATCATAAAAATGTACTAACTGAAATTTCAAGGGGAATATATGACAAGAATAAAATAAAAGATAAATTGAGTTGTAGTGTATCCTCCTTTATTTAATTTACTACAGAACTCCTGAATCTCATCGTTCAGCTCAGCAAGGAAGACTGGGCAATGAGAGAAAAGTTAGTGAGGGAAATAAGTGTCTTGGGAGGTGGTCAGAACAGGTCAGAACAGCCATGCGTACAAGGTGCCCACTCAGATGATGAAGAGGAAATACATGGTCCTCACGACATTCCAACATGTTCTGATCTCTGCCATTTCTTGTTCCTAAAAAGGAGACTGCAACATTATAACTACCACACAGTACTGTAAGATTCAGGAGTTCTGTAGTAAACTGTTTTCACCTTATGGCACACAGCTGCTGAAATGCAGGATTTAAGTTGTGAAGGGAGGTCTGTCTTCCCTGTCATTACCAAGAAAGTCCAGAAGATGGCCGGAAAGCATTTAGAGGCAACGACTGTGCCGTTTCGTTCTGTTTCCCTCAGTTACTTCAGTTTGCAATGTATCATCAACGCAGTTCCTCTGCTCAGAAAAGGTGTGCAAGGCTAACAACAGAATTAAAGTGAACATGGAATGAATAAAGAGGCAATTTAGAAATATTTGCAAGGCTCTGAGACAGGAGGTTAATTCTGCTTGTTTTGTTGCTTCGGTGGGACTGGCTCACAAAACCCCAAACTCTTGGCAAGAGTTCAGGTCGAGACACAGGAGTATAAGTCTTTACAGTGGTTTGCAGTGTGATTTCTCTGTTCACCCCAAAACCAGTTCTCAAACACTAGCTCCATATGATTATTTTTTAAACTAGTTTCCTAAGAAAGTAAGATACGTGCTGTCACGTTCTGTCTCATTTTCCCAATAACTTTTGACTTTATTGGTAGATTTTAAGTAAAACTGCAGATAAGGAGCATCATCCAAAGAGAAAAAAAATTATTAAAGTAGGTACCCAAGCAGATAAGCGAGAACAGTGGCCAAGGAGATAACATTGCCTTTATCTTGACATCTCTCAACGTAACGATTTGTAAAGAATTATTTGGGAGCCTTTGTTAACTTTTGAAGATCGATTGCTGAGCGAGTGTTTGGTTTGCTAGATTTTTTTGTTTGTTTTCTTTTACAAATGATGGTAGAATGTGGCACCAGAAGAGCTTATGCCCCCACCCCACATGCACTCGAGTGGTAAATGCTC